ACGTAAGTGGTACCATCGTCCTAAATTGCAAAAAAATGAAATTTTCGGTTTTTTGACAAAAACGTAAGGGGTGCCATCGCCCTAAATCGCAAAAAATTAAATTTTCGGTTTTTTCCCAAAAACGTAAGGGGTACCATCGCCCTAAATCGCAAAAAATGAAATTTTCGGTTTTTGCCAAAAACGTAAGGGATACCATCGCCCTAAATCGCAACAAATGAAATTTTCGGTTTTTTCCCAAAAACGTAAGGGGTACCATCGCCCTAAATCGCAACAAATGAAATTTTCGGTTTTTTCCCAAAAACGTAAGGGGTACCATCGTCCGAAATCATAAAAAAAAATTTTCGGTTTTTTGCCAAAAACTTAAGGTTTGCCATTGTCCTAAATCGCAACAAATGAAATTTTCGCCAAAAAGCGTAACGGGTAACATCGTCCTAAATAAAAAAAATGAAATGTTTATTTTTTATCAAAAAGCGTAAGGGGTCACATCGTCCTAAATCGAAAAGAATGAAATTTTCATTCCTTCTCTCTGCACCTAACTGCAGCGCTGCACTTAGGTAAATGCAGCGCACTCAGCGATTACCCTTTTCATTTTTTGCCAAAACCTTGGATCTGCACCGTAGCTGCAGCGCTGCACGTAGCTGAATTCAGCGCGTTTAGCTGAGGGCAGCGCTGCATTTAGCGAATGTACTGCTTCTAGCTGCCCCGCTGCACTCAACTGCATGCAGCGCTGCACTTTGCGAATATGCTGCTTCTACCTGCCTTGCTGCACTTGGCTGCATGCAGCGCTGCACTCAGCTTATTTTCTTTCGATTTTGGGCTACGTCACCCCTTATGTTGTTGGTAAAAACGAAAGATAATTTTTTTCGATTTAGGACAATGTTACCCCTTACACTTTTTGATAAAAAATAAAATTTTCATTTTTATTTCGGTTTAGGACGATGTTACCTTTTACGCTGTTTGGCGAAAAATGAAAATTTCATTTATTTCGATTTAGGACGACGTTACTTCTTACGTTTTTGAGCGAAAAACGAACATTTTATCTTTTTCTAGTTAGAACGGTCTTACTCCTTACATTGTTGGCAAAAACGAAACTATTTTCTTTTGATTTAGTACGATGTTTTTCGCAAAAATTTTTTTTCATTTAGGACGAAGGTTACGTCTTTTACAAAAACAAAAAAAAAATATTTTTTTTTTGTTTTTTTGTTTGGTTGTTGACGAGTAGACGATATATATATCTGAGCGAAACATCACTGTGAACTAAAAAAAAATTTATAATTGCGATAACATAAGTTCATAAGAATCGATAAATTAAATCACTTACATATTTGTAAGAAACACAGACGAATTTGGCGCAACTCCTCTAAGCCTATTTAAAAACTCTTTGCGGAAACATTATTCGTCCTCTGCTGTGTAATAATAAATAATAATGCTCGCTGTAAACGTGTATGCAATATTTCTTTTCCGAAGTGAATAATTGAACACAACAGACATCGTTTAGAAAAAGATAAACTTTTGCTTATGCTTCGAAGCCGTTGTTTAAAGTGTCACGAAGAGATTTTACAAGTTCGTCAAATAGATAATCCTACCACAAACTCAAAACACATGATACACGATTTTAAATTTTTGTCGCAATTTTTCTTTTCCAAATTTTTTATTTAAATCTTAAAATATATTTAATATTATTTTTGTATTATGTACGACGAAAGTAGGCAATATTTACAAACATCCCTTTTTGAACTAAGCTGAAGTAATAACGAATAGTTCTTGTATGTTTGAAGAGTTTACTCTAAAGATTCAATAATTTATGCACATAAAGTTACAATTCTTTTTAGTATGCGTAAGTCCAAATATAGCTTATCTCATAGATGGTTTTACAATATTGCTTAATAGTGCCACTTTATATATATACTTATATATATATATTTAACGAGTTTAACCGAAATTTATCTTATTTCTGAACAGGTTATGTAAATATAACAAAGCATTCATTGCATGCAAATCATTGTCAGTCACTTTGATTCGACAACCATTAACCATGAACGACACACAAAAAGATTTTTCAATAAATTATTTGCTGAGGTTTTTTATACGTCAGATATTGTAAAGAAATTGCAGAACGAGCAACAGTTGTTAAAAATTTTGGTAGATTTTTATTGTAGCGTGGTACGGACTAGTGACGGAAGAATTCTGACGAAAAATTTGAAGGACGAGATGATTTGAAACGTTTTCTAAGGGATTGAATCTTGAATTTTACTTTTTCAGAGCAGTGGCAGAGTAGTGGAGTACCGTAGACACCAATAACATTTAATTTTATCATTTGCGCAGGAGCTCGAAAGTAAATGCAAATATCGTTTCGAAAAGTTTATTCGCAAATGGCGAGCATTAAATTAATTGATATGATGGATATGATGGATTGATGATATATTGATGGAAAAGACACCAATATAATCTAATGGAACTTGAATGCTACCTATGGGGACAAGTTTCCAGATCTCAAATGACAATATAAAAATCGTCACACGATTAATTCTAGATCATTGCAAACTGGCAACCATCTAATTGAAAATCTCAAAACAACAAATACTATCCTCATCATACACATATCATCAATGTGTGTCTTGGCAAATTGTTTCTTCTAATTACTGTCTGACCAGCAATGGGAACAAAGGAACTGACGAAAAGGCTCAGTCGATTTTGACTCGAGTATGCCACCGAATGGAATCACATGTTAGACAGTGGACTTAATGCCGTTGAGACCTCCCTTCATTACGAATGTCAGTGTCCAAACGACAGAAAAACATACCCATAATGCCAAGAAAATAAATAGAAAAATAATAAATAGAAATAATAAATAGAAAAATTTCGTTCTTTATGAGCAGTAATCAAAAATTTGGAAAGGTTTCTAAAATATTGATGGCACTTTTAATATTAATATTTAGGGTAATTTTGAAATTATTAGACTTATGGCAATTTCCGTTTCACTTAGGGGCAATTCTGTTAGACTTAGGCGCAGTTTCTATGTCACTTAGAAGAAATTTTGTTAGACTTGGGGAAATTTCTATTTCACTTAGGGGGCATTTTCTCTATATTGCCGGTTTATTTTGTAAAGCTTCCAGTGTAATAAAGTTTTGATTAAACCTATGGTCACTAATATGGGTAAGGGTTGAGGCCGCTGTATAGGATATGCAATAAGATAGTAAATGCGGACATGAAATGAGCGAGTAGATCGGTTACGCGTCCAGTTTGTCCTTGGATAGACATGTTGCTTGTTGCTTTACCAAATCGGACAATATTTGTGTAATTATATCTGACTTTACAGAATTATAATTCTATTCTCTTTTTGAATAA